GAAAAAAGTCGGGAAAAAAGTCGAGAAAAAAGTCGAGAAAAAAGTCGTGAAAAGTAAAAACAATCACGAAATTTGCATGGCACTAATCGGGCTCCGTAGCTTATCCTTATTCTGAATCGTCAAAGAAAAGTAAATAATTAAGTTCTGAAGAGGGTAGCTTAGGTGGTGAGAATGTTGAAGATTCAGATGAATTTTCAACAGCGGAATCAAACGATTTGAAAGTAGAAGCCGAAGTGGCGGCATTTCGTGTTAAACAAGAAAAGGCCCGATATAAACAAAAATGCCGCCTTCAAGCACAGGAAGCCCAGCTGAAGAAAGAAAACGCGCGCCTTAAATTAAAACAAGAAAAGGATCAGACGGCTAGATTGAGACTTAAAGCCAAGTTACTAGGTAAATACCAAAATAAAGAAAAGGTTGATAACAATTAAGGCGAGTGCAAAAGATCGCAGCAATAAGAAAATGAAAATGCCTAAAGGGGATTTAGCCTCAGACAGCAGCGAAGACGAGAGTGCTAGCGGCACGAATGATAGCGAAATCGAGCCCTGCGACCCGAATAAGCTAGATGCCCTTTTTAGAGGGCTGAAAAAACCGCAACTAGCAGTATTCTCCGGTGATAGGAAACTGTATCACGACTGGAGAGCGCAATTTGACATATTTATAAACGAGGACTAGAGTTCCGTCTAAGACCAAAATGATGCTATATATTTAAAAGCTCCCTATCCGGAAAGCCCTTGAAGATCATCGAGAAATTAGGTTACACAGCGACGCAATATTAAACGGCCCTAGAGAAATTAGATTTGAAGTACGGCGGAGACAAACGACTCTTGCAGAGACATCTGGCGGCAATCCTTCAGACCCCAGAAGTGCCAGAAGACAACCTGAAGGAATTGGAGATATTCTCCGATCGCCTAACAGACATCGTGGCGAAGTTAAAGGATTACGGTCATCAACACGAATTGGACGGGATTTCAGCGCCTTACACGGCTGTTCAACAGAAAACACCCGAGACGCTGCTCGTGAGTTATCAACAATGGCTAAACGAGAAAAGCAAAGAAGATGGCCTTTTGACGTTCTCGAGATGGCTAGCTCAACAAGTCGTTTACCGAATGGACGCCGAGGAAACCAAAGAAAGATCAAGAAAAAGAGAGAAGAAAAGGGTATCGGCTGGAGACCCAAGAGGACTGCTTTACATACTACGACTGCACGAGTTGAATCGAAGTGTCCGTTGTGCGAAGGTCCCCACAAGCCCCTCTCGTGCAAAAAGTGGGAGGAGACAGCAATGAAAGAGAGATGGCTGACCGCCAAGAAGTTTAAACTTTGCTACCGTTGCTTAAATATTGGCCATCGAGGAAAGGACTGCCGGAGTAAGAGCAGTTGTAATTTGAATGGCTGTCAAGGCACCCATCGTTTTCACTTGCATTTCCAGAAACCGCAAGAATCGGAAACAGGAACGAAGGTTGAGCAAAAGCAAGGCTACACGTCCAAGCACACCACCGAAAAGAACTCCACGGCGCCTGGTGCGGTGCTGCTGCGTACCGTCCCTGTGTGGCTTCACGGCAAAGATGGAAGAAGAATGCAAGTGAATGCGTTTCTAGACGACGGATCAGACACCACTTATCTACGCTACGACGTTGCTGTTGCACTCGGATTACAGACTAAAGAAAAGCGTTTAAAGATATCAACTCTAACCGATACTGACGTTGACGTAAAAAGCCATAAAGTTACTGTCGACATCGAGAGCGTAGATGAACAAAAGAAGGCGACCATTTGCGCATGGACCCTGGAAGAGATGTGTAAGGGATTCCAAATACCAGAGTGGAATCGCTACAAGGAGAAGTGGGATCATCTGAGAGATATTTCCTTCCCAAAGTTACCAGGAAGAAACGTCGTGGACATTTTAATAGAGGCTGACAACGCAGAGTTAACTCTATCGCTGGAAGAAAGGATCGGTGAGCCAGGTCATGCTGTGGCAAGAAAAACGCCGCTAGGATGGACATGTGTAGGTAGACTGCCAGAAGTTCAAAGCCAGGAACATACCGCATACGCAAGATCCTACAAAGCCCAAGTGACTGCGAACGTCTGTCTAGATGAAGACTTACGCCGAATATGGGAAGATGATCTGCTCGGAGTCTAATCCAAGGAAGTAGAGGAGCTGAACGAACAAGAGATATTGGCTGTAAAAAAGGGCACAAGAGTCATTGAAGTATTACGGTGATCGTTACGAGATAGCTATCCCTTGGAAGGAGGCTACACCTAGTTTACCTGACAATCGTATGAGAGCTGAAGAGAGACTTGTTTCGTTAGAGAAGAAATTGTTAAAAGCACCGGAAGTAGCTGAACGAGACAAGGAAGTTATGAACGCTAACATCGAGAAAGGATACGTTAGGAAGCTTGTTTCTCAGTCTCAGGCAGTGGGACCAGCCTGGTACCTTCCTCACTTCCCGGTGATTCGGGAAGACAAACAGACGACAAGGGTGCGCATAGTATTTGATTCTGCAGCAAGGGAACAAGCAACGTCCTTGAATGACGCAATGCTAACAGGGCCAAAGCTTCAGAAAGATGTGATGGAGATATTGCTTCGTTTTCGAGAAAAACCAGTAGCAATAGTCGATGACATCAAGGAGATGTTCTCACAAGTAATATTAGCAGAGAAGGACCGTCGGTTTCACCGATTTCTTTGGAGAGACCTAGACCAAACTAGACCTATTGATGTCTACGAAGCTGTGAGGTTAACGTTTGGAAATCGTGCATCGCCATATCTTGCACAGTTTGTGGTGCGAAGTCACGCTGAAAGGTTCAAAAAGGAGTTCCCGCTGGCAGCAGCTGTTGTGCTATCCAAGATGTACATGGACGATGTGCTGGATTCAAGGGACACAGAAGGAGAGGCGATAGAGGTCCGTGAACAACTAACAGGGCTTCTGAGGCGAGGCGGATTCCAAATACGGCGGTGGTGCAGTAACAAAGCGAATGTCTTAAAAGAGATTCCAGAGGAAGATCGTGCGACTGGGGTGAAAGTCGTGGAATCTGAACTTCCTTGTCTGAAAACACATGGATTGGAATGGAACGCGGGAAAGGAAGTGTTTCAGTTTACAATCAACAGCAATGTTAGCAGTATGTTAACACATACAAAGAGAAGATTGCTCAGCCGTATCGCAACGTTGTTCGACCCGCTTCAATTCCTAGCTCCGTTCACCATACGAGCAAAGATGGCTTTACAAGAAAGCTGGTTACAAGGACTCGCTTGGGATGAAAAGCTGCCAGAGGATTTGGCGTACCGGGTGTCGCGATGGATTGAGCAGCTTCCACAGCTCGCAGGATTACAGATCCAAAGGTGCCTTCGCAGCGAGGGACAAGTGAGTGAAGTCTCCCTTCATACGTTTACAGATGCTCCAACAAGGCATACGCTGCAGTTACCTACTTTAGACACGAGTATGGAAGTGGCAACGTGACAGTTTCCTTCGTAGCTGCAAAGGCAAACTTTTTCACCAATCAAGAGGATCAGTATTCCTCGTTTGGAACTGATGGCTGCAGTCGTCGGCGCTCGATAAGCAGAGAACATATCAAAAAAACTAGCGATCCCAAAAGAAAAGTGCGTCTTCTGGACAGACAGCATGGATGTCATTTTCTGGATACAAAGACAGTCCCGACGTGAAAAGCCATTTGTCGCAAACAGAGAGAAATTTAACAGAAGACCAGCCCCTTGCAATGGCGGCACGTTCCAGGAAATGAGAACTGCGCTGACGATGCTACTAGAGGTTTGGAGGCCGAAGAGTTAACTGAGAACAGCAGGTGGTTTCAAGGCCCTGAATTCATGTACACGGGAGAGGAAGCCTGGCCAGCCAAGAAACATGCTCGAGAGCAAGACTGCTCGGAGGCCGAAAGCGAGACGCCTTTCGTGAAGTTTACCTTTCAAGGCCAGCGAAAAGAATCTGCTCTTAGTCCCGATCGTTTCTCAAATTGGACAAGGCTTCTGAGAGTAACTGGATGGGTCCTACGGTTTGTAACCAGAATGAAGAAGGCTAGAGAACGCGCACATAAAACCGTTAAGGTTCCGAAAGAGAGGCGTCACCCAGGACCAACAAGATGTAAAGTCAAGGCACCGCTGGACGTCCCAGTAGAGTGCAGCTTAGAGAAGGAAGAGTTGCACTCAGCAGAGAAGTACTGGCTTCGACAGGCGCAAACAGAAGGATACCCAGAAGAACTAGATGCTCTTAAAGTGCAAATGAACCCTTTGACAATACATTCAGTACTGGTTCTGCATAAAGTAAATAGTTGATTGGTAAAATATTTCTTGATTTGAGTGATGCGTCTCTAAGTTATGAAGGTTTATACTTCCAATATGTTAATGATGATGACGTCAGGTAAGGTATTTGAGTGTTTTTGTTGTAACTAGTAATACTAAATGCTGGCCATTTTGAAAATAAAAATTGTAAATAGCTTTCATGTAAACCATGAGTAAAATAATGATGCTTTTTAAATACTGTTTCTATGAACCAGTTCGATTTTGTATATTTGATTAAGCCTTAATAGACGTCACACTCATTAGCATATTGGAAGTATAAACCTTCATAACTTAGAAACGCATCACTCAAATCAAGAAATATTTTACCATTCAACTATTTACTTCGTGTAGAATCAGTACTGAAAGTATTGTCGAAGGGTTCATGTGCACTTTAAAGATTTACAAAGCTAAATAAAGGACGAATATTTGTTGTATGCTCTTCATGTTATATTTCCTCCAGCATTGAAATAAATTAAGCCTATTGATAGAAATATAAAAAGTTTTGAGAGAAAGTCTTTGATTTGTCGATTCGTCGAGAAAAATGCTTGTCAAAAAAAAAATATATATATATATATATATATATATACGATTGTTTGCTAAAAAACACACACCTGAATTTTTGAATTGAAGAACACTTCTTGATCCATCTTTGTCTACATGAAAGATTTTTTTAAATCGTTTTTGGTCTATAACTTGTCCTAAAGCGATTTTTTTCTGTGCATTTGAGAACCGCATTTGTCAGTAGTTTTGCTTTGACATCAAGCGGGATTCCTGTGTTGTGTACAGGGACGGACGGACGGACGGACGGACGGAAGTGACGTCAGCAAAGCCATGAAAAATCAACTCGATGGTTTACCATTTTTTCTTAAATATGGGGCTTCGCTCGCGCGGGCCGAAGGCCCTCGCGGGAGCTCCGCTATAAACATGATCCTTAATTTGGACTTGACTTTAACCACTCTAACGTGACCATCAGCTCCTGGATCCTGGAAAGACTTCTACCACACGTCCCTAGGGCCACTTTCCCTTTGGGTTGTTCTGATCAACCATGAGAACGACGTCGTCTACAGCTAGGTATCTTCTCTTGTCCATCCGCTTGCTGCGAGTATTCAAGATAGTCAAATACTCCTTCATCCATCTTCTCCACACTTGAGCCGTTAAGTCCTGGATGAAACGCCACCGTTTCCTCAGGTTAAACGCCAACTCCTCTGTTCCTTGAGGGGCAAGTTCACCTCCCGCTTGACCGTAAATGAAGTGGTTGGGGGTAAGAGCAGGTTCATCACTCGGATCATTACTTGGATACGTCAGCGGACGTGCATTCGCCAGACCTTCAACTTCAACAATCGCTGTGTGTAGCTCTTCATCAGTTATCCAAGCGTTTCCCAGAATTAGCCTTTAAAGACCTCTTGGCTGACTTTATCAAGGCATCGAACACTCCGCCATGGTGAGATCCTCTAGGTGGGTTGAATCTCCATTTTATCCCTTCGTTGGTGGCTTTGTCTGTGATCTTCTGTTGGTCTAGCTCTGCTACAAGTTGACGTAGTTCGTTGTCAGCGGCAGTGAAATTTGTGCCATTATCACTTATCATTTCCTCGGGCTTGCCTCGTCTCTCGCTATCATTCTTGACAGAGCGTTCAGGAAACTGTCCGTATCGAGACTATAGGCTATTTCTAAATGAACTACACGTGTAGCAGCACAAGTGAAAAGACATAAATATCTCTTTGCGGTAACTCTTCGGGTAAGTTTGGTCACGAATGGTCCTGCATAGTCAACACAACAACGTGCAAAACATCTCATCGAGACTCCCAATCTAGCTTCTGGCAACGGTGCCATAATCTGCTGGCCTGTTCGTTTCCTCCTTATTTTGCAGAGATTACACTCCCGTTCTCATCTTTTCACTTCTTCTCTCCCATGCACCAACCAGTACTTTTGTCGGAGCTCTGCAAACACACAGTTAACACCTCTGCTGTGGTTTCCTTTTCTGTGGACGTGGGAAACGATGAGCTGACTGACAGGATGTCCTTTCGGTAGGACAACAAGATGTTTCGTGTCGTATGGTAACTGAGCCTTCTCAAGCCTTCCGCCGACTCTGATGATATTCTCTTGGTCCAGAAATGGTGTGACCGGCTTAAGGATGGTGGGTACAGTTGTCAGCGCGCACTTTTACTGCGCACATTACGTAATCCACATGAACTCCAACGTTTTCAAAAATAAAAACAACAAAACGAAATTAATGCGTTGTTAGGTTGAAAAGGTCCTAATAAACGGACGAAACTAGTCCCTAAACTGCAATTGTGTTGTTGTTAGTGCGTGGGGGATTATAAAAATGTGTGTATAGACATGAAGATAAGCAAGTCCTTCAATGTCTCGATTGAAAAATTATCAAAAAAAAAAAAAAAAAAAAAAAAGCGTGATCATTGTTGTCATTTTTTTAAAAAAGCAATTTCTTCATGGCTGTCTGTATGGGATATTTTATTAGTACTGTGAAAATGAAAGTGAAAGTTGTGGAAAGGAGAAAACGACGACTAGATGGTAGATTTGTCAGAAATAGAGTACCGGTGAAGCGACAAAAACTAGATGAAAAAGATCAAGCGGCGGAGAAACTCGTAAACAAACACAAAATATTAATTGAAGGAGGGCGAATTATTGAGTTAGATTACCTGATGGAGCAGTTAAAAAGTGGGTGTAGTGAATGGAGGCGCTTAAATTCATGAATTGATCGACGAAAAAAAATTTGGACTCTTGGTAGTATGTTTTACATTCAATGCGAATGCGGAGTTTTAAACTGAAATTTCACCTACTATAAACCACTTAGTTTCTTCTATGAAAATCTTGAGGCTTTATTCAATTCTTAGTTATCCCTACAAGGTTTTCTTATTGCATTCTCTAGAACAATTTAGTAACCGTCTCTTCCAGTAGTTCTTGCAGTATAGTCCGCCTTGTTTACCATCCCATAATGCAATGCTCAATCACGTCTCTCAGGGGAGGGGTGGAGGAATTTTGTAACCATAGCTGGAAAAAAGGTTGAAATCTGATATTCAAAAAATTATAACTTTAAAAAAAGCATGGCGACCCCAGTTTTTTATTTGCTTGGTATGTTTAGTAAACACTTAAGATAATTTTGAATATGCTATTTCAAAAATAAAAATAGTTTTGGGTGGTTTCTTTTTTGATTTTGTGTTTTTGTCCAAAATTAAAATTTCACCTGTTTTTGCGCAAAATTAGATAAAAAATGTACTTTCATCTTTGCAACTTCAAATCTTTTCATTAATATGAAAAATATTTATGTTTAAGATTATTTTAGACAAAATTTCGATGTACTTAAGCCAAACACAAGGGATATGCGATTTTTTGAAGTGCTTTAAAATGCTCTCCCCGTCATCGGGTCCTTAATGACAATTATCTCGCTTGGATGCGTGGGGACCCCCAAATGTTTTTACATTTTTAGATAGCCCCTTGGGTACTCTAAATAACTGACACAGTTTCATTTAAATAAAAATGGGTCGCGAACTGTATCCACCATCCTTAATATTACTACGCTTTGGGACGTCCTTTCCTTTCTTAAAGTGCACATGAACCCTTCGACAATACTTTCAGTACTGATTCTACACGAAGTAAATAGTTGAATGGTAAAATATTTCTTGATTTGAGTGATGCGTTTCTAAGTTATGAAGGTTTATACTTCCAATATGCTAATGAGTGTGACGTCTATTAAGGCTT